CAGTCGTAAACTCTTTCATGTCAAAAGAATTCATTTCGGAATATTTTAACAATTCAGAGGTTAAGAGGCGTTGCTAGAATAAATAGAGCAAATTCCAGAGTAAAAGTTTAACTTTCGATAGAAATTTCTAGTGCTTTTTTAAAAACTCAGTTATAGCAAAAGACAAATCGAAAATCTTATAATAATAAAATACGTAAAAATTGTTTTTAGGTTTAGATACGAACAATGATTAATCGTCTCCTTGTCTAATCTTTGCTCTAATCAGTAATAGATAGGCCGTATATCAAGATATAATAAGTTTATGGCTGCTACAATTTTTGTATAGTCTCCATCATACCCTTTTATTGGATTCTTTTATCATCCTTTTCTATTCGCGAGACAATGGTTGACAAACCAGAGATTTACAAGCCTGGTGGAGTCTTTTCCTTCTTGGACCTTCAGGAGACTTTTGCCTTTCCATTTATTACAAACTAAAATGTCGCAGGAAATGTATTAAGTTGCAGATCGTTTGTGTGTGCTACTACAATAGATAGAATGTGCATAAAAGATTATTATTCAAATAAGGATTGCACAGAAATATAATTTTGTACATTTATCTTTATCAGATAAATAAAATAATTTTTTGTAAAAAAATAAAGCGTGTGTGTATGTGTTTATATAATCCACGAATATAAAATAAAAATGTTAAATTATATGGAGTTTAATTATAATGATTAAATTTTTTGCATTTAGTCTGAGAGAGAAATTCAAATATCGTTCGGAGGTGGAATGCAGGACTTTTGGATCTATTAAAAATAGCTATCCAATAATGAACTACGATATATGAAATGTTGTCAGAATAGAAATTTTATCAAGTAAGTAAACTATTTATTCTAACGATGTATTTTTTAGCAGCTTTCCCTCGAAATTTATCTCTCGATAACGGACATTCATCGAACATCTAGCTATTTATGCTCATTCCAGCTGAGCCCAATTTATCATTCTTAACGGTATTGTTTTTCAATGGATGTAGAACATGCATCTCAATGGAAGTCAAACATGTCTCGAATAAAGCATATACCGCTATTTCTATCGCCACTTTTCTCAAATTTGGATAATTTATTCTGGACCGTTATTAATTACCGTTATTACATATTAATGAAACGGAGGGAAGCATGCTTTGTGAAAGGAGATTTATTTCTACTGCGAATTTTCTCTCATATGTTTTACGAATTTTATTTAAATATTCCAAGATCAAGTTGAAATAAACGAAGCGAGGTTTCTTTTTTTTTATTCGTTTTTTTTCTATCAGCGGAATTTAACTACTGACAACATTTAGACTTCGGGGTCCGAGGAACCCCGCGGTTTCGCTGCTGTGAATCTGTCAACATTGCCGTAAGAATATAATGCATTGAAACGCGTTTAAGCGGGAAAATTTTAAAGTGGACAGGTTATTTTGTAGCAAAAAAAAAAAATCAACACCCTCGGCTACCGATGGACGCTCTGTTACGAATACTCCGATCTGTTACTTCTTTTTTTCTGTCAAAGCCTTTGAATAGTCGGGAAGGCAGTTAATCTAGAGTTTTTTTTTCGGAAAACCATGCTCTATGACGTTCGAAGCATCCTGTTTATTGTATTAACATTTTATACAGAACAATAATATACTGACAGCATGAAGTTAAAAGATTTTGGAATTTCAATTTTTACAGCTGTAGAAAAAATGATAATTTTGATTAACATTTTGAATTCTTCCTGTGTATTAAGATAATGTGATTGTTTTAGATCGCCCGAAATGCAATGAAATGCAACTTGAAAATTTGAAACGATTTATCTAGAAATTGCTAATTTGCAACGTGCGAAAAATTTGCAATCTTCCAGCGAGACTGCTCGCCATCGCGAGTAAAATGATCAATCTTGTTCCAAGTTTGTTATTTATCAACCACATTGAAAATACATTTCGCGGTTAATCAATATTTACACGAAGACCAATTACTCACAGTTGAGAGACACCATCTGACAGACTAATTAATTGGCTATTAATGATCCAACACATGCAAGATGATTTGCGTGATTTTCCCAGTTGCTCTAGAACGTATTATCAATGCGAGTATTCCGTCGTTTTGGTCCATTTGTTGATTTGTGACTGGCCAAAAATGTCTTTTAATTATTTATTGCGCAATAACACAATTATAATTATTACTAAAACAATAGAAAAATCTTTTGAAAATAAATTCGTTGGAAAATTCTAGAAAATAATTGAGCCGAATTTTTATTGGGTGTCCAATGAATAGTCGTTTTAACAATTCAAGTCACAAATCAATCAACAAGTACATTCGGCTCAACAAAGAGCATTTTGACCGCAAACACTGAGCAAACGTATTTTCTAAATTCGGGGCTTACGCTTTGGTCATTTTCAAACCGTATTCACGTGTGGTCCAAGACGTTTGCTGCATATTTATGATCCCTTATTTATACACACATCGAGCCACCGCCCACCGAGTAGCATCGCTGTCATACGAAGAGACGGAAGAGAGGAGTGCACGGAAGAAGAAGAAGAAGTAGGGGTTGAATGTGCTCGGAAGGGGTAGATTATTTACGGCGTAACGGTCTACGTCACTACTGTCCGCGTTGTCAGGTAGGCGGATCGAGTTCCGAGACGCAATTTGCATCTGTTTGCGGCTTCTCGCCTCCGCCCTTCTTTCGCTGGCTCATCAAAGAGCGATATATATCGTTCCTCTTTCACGCCCGCGTACCAACCGATCGCCTTTTTACATACTCGGATCGTCATCATCGTCGACCGGCACACTCGAGACCGTCCGATACGCTGCCTTCTTGCCACGCGAATTTATTGAACCGAACAGAATATTTTTTGGCGATTATATTCGAAATTAATTAATATTTCTTGCCTGAAATATATTCTATTTTTAATATAAAATATAATTCTATTAATATCCTAATGTGGGGGACAAAGATCATGTATGGCAAAAGAAATTTTGACAATATTTAAATTTCTAAATGATATTTTCCTTTTTAATCAATCATCTAGTCGGAGATCTTGTATATGGTACGTTCGATCGCGTCTTCAAAGATTTAGGTGTCTCTGGATTGTATAGGGGAAAATAAAATAGGTAATGAATAGTGATCTACCGTTTCCGGAAAACTTACGGAGCGACGAAAAGCCGATTCCCGACAGTAGTCTTCGATTCGTTCCGTAAAATTCCGCAACTTGAACGAATAGAAAATAATGCAAGAGTAAAAAAAAAAAAATATTGCCTAATTTTGACGCAAACAACTCACTCGACGTGGAGCCCGCCTCACTGATGCTTCATCAATGTTTATTATCGTCCTGTTTATGTACTCTCTTGCGCTCTTGCCAAGCAGGAAACTAACTGAAGACGACATTATTCTGGATAGGGTATTTGGGACCACCGTCTACGCTGGGGCTGCAGACGGCGCGATGCACTGTCACCCCATATCTTAACTATGAGGACTTAACTTACGGGGAAGGCCGTCGAGGCCTCCCGTCGCGCGGGACCGACAAAACAAACTCCTTAATGTCTTCATGCTCGTAGGGCTTCCGCGAACAAAATTCGCTTTTCGACCGTGCCCTCACCAGTTGGTAGCGTCATCGGACTACTGGAATGGTGCACCATAAGGTGCTTCAAGGTTACGAATTACAAGGTCGAATTTTCACTCCCTATAAATGAAGAGATTATTTGATTTACGTTGCAGCGCGTAAACATAAACATCACTGGGTAGCCATTGATTTCTCAAACACTTCCTTTACCGGAAGTTGTGCAACGATAAAATTGTTTCGAAAATTATGGAAAGATATTAGATACCGAAACAATTTTCAATAGTATAATTTAATATAATTTTTGCAACCTTATTAAAGTAAAATAGACAATCTCCTACATGAAGAGAGCTTTATATATTTATTTTTTGTAATTAAATTATCAGTATTATTAGATTTTGTATTTATATAGATTTTTATCTCTCTCTTGTGCATGTAAATATAAAGAAGACACAGAGAATATTCTCACGTTGGATTAACAAATTGCTAAATATATTAATGAAATAATTCGGGATTGTATTGCATTATTTAAAGTGGTTAATTACTAAGGGAAATCAACGATCGATCACTATTTCACGTCACCGTCGCGCCTATTGTGTCGCATCCTCTTTTCAATCGTGCATCGTCATTTCCCCGATAGCTCCGGAATGGAGGCCCCCTTGGACGAGAGGAAAAAAAAGCGCGAATCCTGGAGTAATTCGCAATCATGCGTGAACAGCTGACACTGGAGATTAGGTAAACTCTACGCGCCTCGCGCCAGCGATTTGCGCTAAATCGCTTTACGTAGCTTGAAAACGCACGGCAAGAAACGCACAATCTGCGCTCGAGCGATGACGCCGCATAGAACTCGCGGCGAGAAGATCACGACGGTTTTCTCCCATTACCTTAATTGCGCGTTCCACAAACAAACATTTGTCCCGTAGAATTTGATTGCGTTTCATGAACACCGTCTAACTTATTGAAAACTGCTGGAACGACGCTATGTTTGTAATTATGTTGTCAGCTGTTTACGTCTGTTATTACTTCTTCATCTTAGTAATATACTTTTACATGATTTATTTATATTTATTTACATTAAAAAAAAATAGATCTCTGCAATTGTTAACTTTAAAAAAATATATCTATACGTATAGTATTAAAAATTATCGCAGAGAAAATTTTCATTGTTGAAATGAGGTATACATTTTGCAATTATTATTAATGAGCTCGCTGTTCTACGCACAAAATAAGGTAAAATGAAGTTATATTATTCTTCTTCATCAAACTCATCATTTTCTTCAATACTGAATTCTTCTCTGAGAACATTCAGAAACTGTTATATTTCAGACATATTTTAAGACATTATCAGACGTTTAAGACATTAATAAAGAAGAACATTAACAAAGTTTAATTGTTGTATTATTCTGTTGAAAACTGCAAAAGATTACGAACAAGTATTCTTTTTGATATCACTTGGTTTCATCCACCGGCGATAAGAGAATTCTACAATTCCATGATTGATTTCTTTTCATAGGAAAACCTCGATAATCTCTATACTTATCCCAAAAATTACTTGGCATTTAATTTTCGGATTGCGATTAAGCGAATGAAGCGAAAAGATACCGCAAGCGAGACCTGGGAAACAAAAGGTTTGACCCACCGGGGTCATACTCGGGGAATAACGAGCGCTGTATGTAAGCATGGTGCGTGCTCGTAAAAGCACGGCAATAAAATTACCCAAGGTGCCCATCTGGTTGGGGCGTGAATCGGAGGCGTGGTGGAAAGTCTCGCAGTGCCGCGATTGGTTAACGTTGAGCACCAGTGTATTCAAGAATCAAGATTTGATCTCCCCTGTCGGTTTTCTCGTGCCGATCGTACCCCAACCAGAGTATCGCCAGACTGGCAAAACTTACCTGATGTAACTGGTGGGAGTTGCCTAGCCGTTAGTTACCCCAACGTTCCATCCCCAGGACGTTTAGTTGGGATCGGCGAGCCGATCGGTAGAGATCTATCTCTTATTAATCTTGTGAAAGTTGAAGTAAGTGTACATAGCCTTCCTATGTCACGTCAGATAAGATCAAGACTGTTGCGAAGAGAAATCGAGAAAGGAATGAATCAATGGTTCCAATCAATACACTACGACCCGGGCGAAATCGTCGCTTTTCAAACTTGCAATGGATACATGGTTTGTGCTTGCTTACATATTTCTTTTATGTGAACGTCGGGTGAATCGCGGGACTAGGTAGGATAAGTAGAACGGGAGATTAATGCGAAGGATGGAGAATCGACGATGTCATCCTTATGGAGAACTATGTGAAATGCGCTAGTGAAGTTTATCATCATTCGGTGCCGGAACGAACTTATCCGGACTACGTCGCGGTGGCTCGGCTTGGCTGAGATGGTTACCACCAACTTCTCGATGATGCGACCATGTTTTACTGGATATTCTCTTCAAGGTGTGTCTCTCGCTCGTCGCTAAATAGCTAAATACTCATCTAAGACTGTTTGTAAACTTAGAGGTGATTTTATGATCCAGATTGCTTCACTTTATCTTTCATCTATCCACAAACATTGTTCGATTAATATATTTTAATCTCACCAAGGTTGACAAATATTGTGAGATTGGATTTGATACTCTTTCTCCTTCAAGAAATGAGAGACAAAATTTTCTTAGAGAAGAACTATTAAAGTTTCTGGATAAATTTTAATAAGTGCATCAGTTCTAATAGTTTCTTGTTCAACAAGAACAAAATTGACATAAAATTAAAGTTTGTACAAAATAATTAATTAAATTAATCGAAGTTTTAGAGTAGTAATTTTCGGAGTAAAAGTTACGGATTCACAAAAATCTGCGAAATCTCGTCCGATTTATTTATACAATAAATAATTGCACTCGTTTTAAATTGATTGGAATATTTTATGAACCATTATTAGTAATGACATTATTATAGATTATGGAATATCTTCTTCAACGATAATAGTAAACGAAAGAAAGAAATCTATTTTTCTTTTTTGATTCTTTATTTTCCACTTATTTATTATCTGCACGGCATTAGGTTTCTTCATCAATATTTTTAAAGCATAAATAATAATAATAATATTTTGAATACATCGTTAATGTATCGATATATATGAAGAAAATTTTTATATAATTTATCGAAATCTCTCATGAACAGAATTATGCAACATCGTTGAAACTTTTATATCAAATAATCATAGCACAGCTATTTTTTATAAATATTTTTACGATTGACATGTCATATATATTTCTTCTATATACTTGTGGACATATTTTTATTATGTTATTTGTTTTCCCCAATACTGTTCCGTATAACGCACAGTGCTGTTTCATTCATTCGAGCTTTCTCGAAAGCTTTATGCTGTTATAAAATAATTAAAAACATTGGATTTTATATTTAAAATCCAAAAGTTTTATTTTTCTATATAAATTTATTTTATAATAGATATAAAAGTCATTTACGTCCCCGCTCAATATATTTATTGCTTTCATAGAAATTCAAGAATTGTAGAAAAGTTTATAAGTAGTTTTCTTCGAGTCTTTTTATTGACGTCGTAAATTTAAATTCATTGTCTAATCCCACGTGGTGCTCGCTCAAGTTCGTTAGAAAGAAAAAAAAAACGAAAAAAATGTGTGAGGTCAAAGAAAGTTTTCTATTTTTCGCCGTCCGCGGGATACCTATATCAATGAATTTATCTTTAATAACGTAAGTTGAATAATGCGATTTGTCAATGTCCGAGGGTGTGGTGTTTTGATTGTAATTAGCATGAATAATTGTTTTCTTGATGATTTACCAGTTGGAAACTAGATGCAGAAAGTCTGCATTCGCGGAAATCGCGGTGTTAATTGACGGCGGGCGATTAGCAGTTGAGCGAGAATGCGCTTCCGTAAAATCACCGCAAAAAAACTTTTCAATGATGGTCGTTAATTACTTCATCGTGGATAAAACGTAAGACTTCTTACTTTATAATTCTATCATTATAATGATTTATGAGTCGCCGTTGCAGTTTTTGCGAAATAAGCAAGGGTTTTATCCTCGTTCTTTAAAGCGCGATTTAAATTAAAATCGAAATTACTTGAAAGAGACTTCGTTGAAAACTTCGCGTTAATAGAGTCTCCGTAGACTCGTTTGTCAATTGAACGATCGATTAAATCAGAAGTTATTTCGTAGAACGAGCGCGATCACCATCGGTGAACGCTTTTTTCGGTGAACGTCGGTTGCACCCGCGGTGATGCATGGCTGCGATTATGCAACCGTTCTGCGCAATCGGATAGCGGTTCTCTTTTTCCGCAGGTGCTTTTTGCCGAACGGATTAGTCGAAGCCTGTTTACCTATCCTTTGTCTTACGCGACAAGATGTTTTACCTATCCTTTGTCTTACGCGGAAATGCGTTTGATTATAAACGAAAGCGTGCGACCATACTTTGCCGCGTTTCTCGTCTTTCGACGATAACAGTAATGCCGTTTATATATTCTCATATTCTTTCCGAATCGGCACAAAATGTGAAAGTACAATAATGCATATTATCTTTCTTGTGGCGCCTGCGAAAAATCACAATCGAATCATTTTATCGGGAATTAATCGTTTTGCTTATATAGGTCTTATTTATGAGGGTAACATTTTGCATCCGGATTAGAAAAGTGAAAGCTGTAGGATCGATCATTCGCTTCCTTCTTGCCGCGAGCTGTCTAAATGATTCGTCAATATATATAATAAGAGCGTTAAAAATCACGGAACTACTTTAATACGCGTCACTAATGCAAGTAATATTTATATCATATCGATTACTGTCGACATGATTGCAGATGTATATTTATACTTTTGTCAATTTCAAGGGAACTTTAAAAGAAAAAAAAAAATTTTCCTATTTTTATTATGCGAAAATTTTCGTTTTCTAATCTTTTTATATATCTTTATATATGGACTATATGTTTGTGGATACTAATTTATTTTCTGTTTTCTATTCTCTTTTATAATAATTATATATATTTATTACAAATCGAGGAATCAAAATCTCCTAGTTTATTATATTGTCAAATAATTTCAATGAAAAATCTGAAATAAATAATAAAGAGATTGGATTTTAAATAATATATTTGGTAATGAAATATACTCTTGTTGGAGAAAACATTTCTGCATTTACTATAGTGCTTTTTCAATCATATATAATTTTTATTATTAACAAGAAACACTGAAATATAAGTTGAATCGTTAAACGAAGATATACATAATGAAATATAATAATAAGGTCACAAGAGACTCTAGGTTTGTGTATGTACTAAACAATAACAAACAATAATTTGTCGTACATCTTCCCAAACATCAAACTGATGTTTTTCTTTTTTTTATCTATGCCAGCCTCTGTGAGACCGTATTATTACTTTTTATTATATTCACAGTACATATTATATTAACAGTTAATTAAAAAATTCTAGTTTCTTGCCATATTAGAATTTTTACATGATTAAAAACAAATATTAAGAAGTGCAGAAATATTCTAACAAGTGTATGTGTATGTATTTCATTATTAAATATAATATTTAAAATCTATAATCTGTGTGTGTGTGTGTGTGTGTATTGCTCGTTTTATGTTTTTCATTACGTATCGTTGCATGCGCGAGCGACGGTGTGTGTGTGTGTGTGTGTGTGTGTGTGTGTGTGTGTGTATTGCTCGTTTTATGTTTTTCATTGAAGCTATTTGATATTATAAATCGATTTGTAATAATCATATATATAATCTAAATCTCATACTTCTTATCGCCTACAGAAGAGTAAACTCTTTTGTGTAACTTTTGCACACGATATACAAATCGACATTACGTTTTACAAAAGAGTACACTCTTTTAGAATATCGATTTAAATGGACTTTTATGAATAAGATATCTATAGTTAATACATCGATTATATATATACATTAACAATACACGTAGCATGTCGTAACTATAATAAGATATCGCCGCTTTACGAAGGAAACGGTGATCGCCGTCTCGCCTGGATGATCGGATTTTTCATTGCGTTGTCATTGAGATCCCCTTTTTTTCGTCTATTGTATCGCGTCTCGTAAGAGCAAGCGCGGTTTTTCTCTAAACATCGAACGATTGCGATTGCGCGTCTCTTTTTTGCCCATCTAATCGTACAGCTCATTCGTCATTACAGCCATCACTCTCTCGGTGATTGTAATCCGTTTCCTCTGAAATTGCAACTGACGAGAATGCGGCTCATTCCTTAAAATACCAGTATTCCAGAGTTTCGAATAATAATCGAATTAATTACAGCGCGCATATTAATATAATGCACCGCATTTATTTATCTTGCTTTTAAAGTTTGCGTTCAAGGTTTGCTGCGTCTTGGATATACCGGCAATAAAAATCGCAACGACTCTATTTCCTAGAGCGGCCGCGTTCCTCTTTCTTTAGATCGGTAATCGAGATCGTCGTCGTGTAACGCGAAATTAAATAAGCCAAGCAAATTATACGCTATCATTGTTGTGCGTCGTAAACCGCGCCGGGATTTATTGGACTTATCGATAGTCGCTCCACAGCCGCCCGCGCTTATAATTCTCTCTCTCTCTCTCTCTCTCTCTCTCTATTTTCTCTCTTTCTCACGTCTTCGAGAGAAAGAAGTCGAATCAAGCACGCAGTAACAGCGATAAATCCAGGTTGCCCTCTTTATGCGCCGTCCAATAATCGCTGCCCCCCCCCCTTCCCGTTTCTCTTTCTCTCTTGCTCGGCCACTTCCGGTCGGTTCGGAAATCAAAGCCGTTCGAAGGACGATTTCTCAATCACTGCTTCTGCGATCAGAAGCGAGATGGAGAAATGATCTCGTAGAGAGCACGATAATTATTATTACGGTCGAATTAACATGTGCAAAAGGTTTTTCAATTATATGAGAAAACGATGGATGGATGGTGTAAGCGCTGTTGCTTTTTGCAGACTTAGGATCGATACCGGGCCAGGGCCGCGTAAATCAGCTCGGTGGTGTCTTCATCAATGGACGACCGCTACCTAATCATGTCCGGCTCAAGATTGTCGAGATGGCCGCGTCAGGGATCAGACCTTGCGTTATATCGAGGTAGAGAGTGAATAGTAATATATTTCTCTAAAAAGAAAAGAGAGAGAGAAATAGAGAAAGTTTCTAGAGTGAATTAATTATGTACTTTTAACTCTACACTATACATATACAGGGTGTTGGAAAAAAGGATAAAATATTTTAAAGGGATTTAGTATGCCCAAAAGCAAGTTGAAAAGTCTTGATAAACATGGGTCCGCAAATGAGCCGTTTTTGAGATATTTTTATTAAACGGGTCTAAAAGATTTTTTTATTTGGGGCTATTTAAAAAGTCTGGTGTATGTAGAGCCAATCAATAACTTGGAACAATTACAACATCGTGAACAAGAGGCCTGCGTCACAATCAGAATGAATCCAGTTGTATTTGAAAGAGCACAAGATTTATTTTTGCGGAGATGCAGGATCCGCATAGACATGGAAGGAGGTCATTTTGAACATCTTCTCTAATAAGATAAGGTAAAACACCAGCTGTTATTTTTTTTGCATAAATTATAAAAATAAAAATGTGAAACAAAAAATAAAAATTATAAAAATTATAAAAATGATAAAAAATATCAAAAATAAAAGTATCTCAAAAACGGCTCATTTGCGGACCCATGTTTATTAAGACTTTTCGATTTGTTTTTGGGCATACTAAATCCCTTTAAAATATTTTACCCTTTTTTTTCAACACTCTATATATATTTTATATATATACATATATATTTTTTATTTTCCCTTTATAGTAAAAAAAGAGGGATAGGAAAAATTTTTATCTCGCTCGAGAATCTTTCTGAATAGTTCTGTCTTCTTTCTATGATATAGTTTTCTAAAATAGAATAGAAATTCTGCGAGCGATATCAGAATTGAATTAATCTGTTATCGTATCTCATTGAGGGCAGACAATTGAGGGTATCCCACGGATGCGTGTCGAAGATACTAAACCGTTATCAGGAGACTGGTAGCATCAGGCCCGGTGTCATCGGAGGGAGCAAACCTCGCGTGGCTACGCCAGAGGTGGAGGCGAGGATTGAGGAGTACAAACGTGACAACCCGGGTATGTTTTCGTGGGAAATTAGGGATCGGCTTATCAAGGAGGGTATCTGTGACCGGACCAGCGCGCCGAGTGTGTCCGCGATTTCTCGGCTACTCAGGGGTCGCGATCCGGAAGACGACGTCAAACTTGGCGACGGTGAGAGATTCCAAAATAGCAGTTTCGCTTATTGGACAGAAATAAGATTTTGAGACTGCTTAGAATGCGATGTAGAACGCGAATAATTGTTAACGTAGCAGTTACACAAAGAAATCTAGCGTATTCATACGTGGGTCTTTTTTACCTCAGCATAAACGAAAAATATATTATCGGGAAAAGGAGAGGAAAATATCATTATTTTATATAGCTTTGCATAATTTATTTTTCTTATCTCTTTTTTATCGATGGATTAATTAGGTACTAAATAAATATTATTATAAAAAATTTTGAAAACTAAATTTTCGAAAATGCTAATTTAAATTAAAACTCAATTTCTGTTACGAATATATTATTTTCAATATATTTTATGATACGAATATCTCTAATCTTTCATACACAAGATATCTTATCTGTATGTGATGATACTGATTTTTATTCAAAAAAAAAAAAGAAAAAATAGTTCATCCTTCGTGTTACTATCGCTTATCTCGGAGATACCTCGGAGCTTCTTCGAAATTTCCCCGATCAGCCACACTAATGGCGGCGACGAGTTCCTCGAAGGGGAGAGTTCACCCTCTCTCCCTCTCGACTGCCCGAGTTTCTTCCCGCGTCCCGCATCCTAACGGAGATTGATGATCGCCGAGCGAATCGGCGAATCAGCCCGACGCGACGCCGAGTATCCTTGCACGGAATTGGATTATAACGACATCGGGACTCGCATAAGCGTACCGTGGCCGCTCGTTACGCGACGCCTGTTAAAATTGAATCAGCTGTTTTTTTACGTTTTTTTAAATTTTTTTTTACGTACGCGCCACGTTGTGTAGAGATACGTGAGATTTCGCAAAACTTGGCATCGCGCGCTGCTGCTACTGTATTAAAAGACAAGGAAATGAGAAGTCGAGAAATGCAAGAAAATTTCGAGAAAAACGTCTTCTAATTTATCATTCTACCTGGGAATATTAACTACGCCTTTAGAATACTTTTTAGAAATTATTTTTAAAAGAGTTTTGTAAAAACACATTTCTTTTTATATTGTTGTATTTCATTTTATTGTCCAACATAAATTACAATGAAATTCGCAGCGTGTAATTTGTTAAAACATGTCCGGATGCGTTTGTTTTCGCAAAATTTTTTCCGACAAAACATTTCTCAAAATATTTTTAAAGGATAAACTCAAAAGGATAAGCTCAGAAGCCAGTTGATCCATTCTTTTAATGCTTTACCGTCAAATGACCATACCGGTCCATTACTTTTTAACACAATATGCGTTTCATTAATCTTAATTTATGGTTTTTTTGTGGCACTATTTGTGTAGTTTTTTCTTATGACTTGTCGGTTAATCGTGTATAGATACAAATAGACACCCACCACTGACTTGTTTAAACCCACTCGATATCCATTCTAGAATACTAATACGGAGGCGATCTCGCTTAGTGAAAGGACCTCTCGGAAAGCTTCATCACCAGGCCCACACAGTGGCGGACCACCGTGTGGGACCCACGCTCGCTCGAGTATAACGGTATGAATGAGTAAATTAAATGCTCGCGTATTAATCGGCCGCTCCTCGCGTTTCTCGGTCTCGGAAATTACCGGTTCGCCGTCCATCAGATCGTCCTCTCCCCCGGTAGCCGGCACGGCCGGGCTCTGTAATTTTCTCGCCGCCCGGTACATGCCCACGTGTGTTGCACGGGGAGGCTGCGCGCGAGATGTGGGCCCCATTCGCGTGTAAGCGAGTCGATCGTCCTCGAGAAAATCGACGGCCGATGAAGGACGCGCGCGTCTACCGACTCGCCGGATGAATCAGGCATTTCTTCGGTATTTTCGGGACGATCGCGGCAAGACTGCGGACTAAAAAGATTGCGGTCAAACGAGAAAAGTGCTGAAAACGTTATTTTAAAGACCAGCATTTCATAGTTGGAAAATTTGTATCATATTTAACATATATCGCATGTCCCAAACGGTCCACACAAATTTTTGTATTAATTTAACATAATATATGTTAAATAATGACACTAATACTATGTTAAATAATTAATTTCAATACAAAATAAATACAAACTTCATAATAATTTAAAATAAATTTTATGTAAAATCAATATATATATTTAATGATAAAATTAATTTAGAAAAAAAAAGTTATTTTGACACTCTCATTCCTATTATAGAATAAAATCAATATTTTTTTCTGTAAATTTTAACACGTAATGCCTTTCATTAATAATACGAAATATATATATATATCTATTATGTAAAATTAAAGATATGTGCACATTGTATTATTTTTACACTTTTTCAGTTGTTTTAATCATTTAACATTTTAGTTCAATTAACATAACAACAATATGTTCAGTTAACGCATAAATATGTTAAATATTTAACACAAAAATTTTAACCGACATGTTTTTTAACAAGAAAATATAAATTTTTCAACATTTTATATATATATCAATTACAATGACATTTATAATAAATTAATATTAAAAGATTTAGTAAATTTAGACATATGTATATGTCTGACATACTAGAGTTCGACGATAAATAGATAAATATTTATCAAGGGGTTTAAGACCGAGACTTTGAATTGTGTCAAGTATAAATTTTGTGCGGACTAAAACACGTGAGACAAAGATCCGATAGATGTATACTTTTTATGAGGATATTGACATATTGAGCGGAATACATATAGCGCTAAATTTTGAAATTTTGTGTGATTTATCTAGGATGACAGAATTTATACTAGAATAATAGAATTTACAAAATTGACAAATCTTTGACAAAACCTATTTTGCAAAACCTTTACTGATTTTTGTCGCTATGGAAAGCGACAAGATGGATGGTGATAATGTCATCCTTGCAAAAAATCTAAATGGATGAGCATCATTTGTGGCGATTGTGGCTTAACATTTTAGAGAAATTTTCACGAAATCCAATTTGGCGCTTCAATGGCAGGAGAGAGAGAAAAAGGTTTGCTTAATACTTGACAAGACAAATGAAATGTGTACTAACGTAGATCTTCCTATGGCCTGAGAAACCTCAAGTCGGCGAAGATAAAAGGGCTCGTGGTTAGAAAGAGAGGGAAGAGGATTCATGCGTCTGTAAATCGATCGTTGTGACGGTTGGGCGCTCGTCGAAAAAAAAAAAAAAAAAAAAAAAAATAGAGAAGCCGGGGTAAAAATAACACGACCTCGCAGAGGGGTGAGAAGCGAAAAGGGACACCGTCTATTAAATGCTCGCGCGCGAAGTGTACGAGTCGAGTTGCCGGAGCTGTCGAGATGAAGTGACGCCTTTGTTTGGCAAACGTGTCGGATTGTTTTTCTCGCATACTATGTGAAACGCGTTGCACGTAAATAAGTTGAGGGGCCAATTGAACGAGGAAGGTAAATGATTAATCTCGCGTATTATATGTGGCCTAATAGCGTACACTGTTGGAAAATTTGGCTTAAATTTAACATATATATCACAAACGGTCCATGCAAATTTTTTTGTTGATTTAATATGGTATGCATATATTAAATGGTGACACTAATACTATGTAAATATTACAACAGAAAATAAATGCAAATTTCCTAGTAATTTAGAATAAATTTTATGTAAAATCAACATATTTTTAATGATAAAATTAACTTAGAGAAAGATTATTGATGGTCTGTAGTCGCTCTCGCTTCTAGTAGAATAAAATCAAAATTTTTTCCTGTAAATTTTAACAGATAAATTCTATCACTAATAATACAGAACGTATCTATTGTATAAAATTAAAAATATGTGCACATTGTATTATTTTTACACTTTTTTTAGTTGTTTTAATAATTTAACATTTGAGTTTAATTAACACAACAGCAATATGTTAAATTAACACATGAATGTATCAAATATTTAACACAAAAATTTTAACCGGCACTTTTTTAACAAGAAAACATAAATTTTCCAAATTTTCCACAGTGTAATAGTATTTTGTTTATGAAAATAGATGAATGATTTATAAATAAATTCTTTCAAATAATTCAAAAATAGATAAATTAGCCCTTTAATTTAGCTATACATGCGCATAAATTGAATAAAATATCGATCTTATGCTATTTCATAATTTGATTTGATTCAAGCTGCGTCTTCAAACTTTTCTACTTTATAATCTTGCACTGGACTTGCGATCGAGGTTGCCAGGTCTTTATTTTTACACTTTTTTTAGTTGTTTTAATAATTTAACATTTGAGTTTAATTAACACAACAGCAATATGTTAAATTAACACATGAATGTATCAAATATTTAACACAAAAATTTTAACCGGCACTTTTTTAACAAGAAAACATAAATTTTCCAAATTTTCCACAGTGTAATAGTATTTTGTTTATGAAAATAGATGAATGATTTATAAATAAATTCTTTCAAATAATTCAAAAATAGATAAATTAGCCCTTTAATTTAGCTATACATGCGCATAAATTGAATAAAATATCGATCTTATGCTATTTCATAATTTGATTTGATTCAAGCTGCGTCTTCAAACTTTTCTACTTTATAATCTTGCACTGGACTTGCGATCGAGGTTGCCAGGTCTTTGATTTTGACCTGGAGTCTTCGAGCGAAGAAGAAAATCTCCGGATTCTATATAAAATTAATTTTCTTTATTGCATATATACGTCTACCCAATTTCATATTTCTGTTTGCAATAAATTACGCGAATCGTATACACAGGAATTAATTCTCTCTCGTGCTCTCGATAAAGATATATCTCGCGAGATTTCTGCGCTGCCGTTGCCGTTGTCGTTTTTCTCGACGATTGAATCCGGGCGGATCTAAAAAATCAGAGGAGAAATTATATCCTTCGCGAAGAGCTAAGCGGCCGACTGGTGATTCTTCAAGTTTTCGGAACCCGGTATTAGCCGCGGAATAAATAATTGCCAGGTTGGTGCGACCGGTATACTAGAACGTAAATACGTCATCTCTCACGCAGGGGTTTCGCCGTCGTCAGCATTTAAAAAGTAGATTTTCCGTTATCCTAAAACACACGTGTGATCCTTTGTTACAAACATACAGATTTTCTACATCTACAATACAAAAAGTGCCTACGAGACGAAAAATAAAATACAAAATACAGTACGCCACATTTTTCAAGCTTAAAATTCTTGAGCGTCTTACCTGGCTCAATCACTCTTCCAGTCACTGAAACGCTCGAACAATACCCAGTTCGCCTTTGCATTTCGGAAGGAAGTAATTACCCATTTACCTACCTACGAGCTTTCCCGCGGCGGCACATTGTCGAGGCTATTTCTGATCGTTCATCATGAACGTGGACGTGGCACGATCAGGCCTGTTGGACCACGTCGTCGTCCGCACTATTTCCATCCGCATGCGGATAGGTGTCGGCGGATTGTGAAACTCGATGAGAGAGAAAGAGGGAAAGCGAAAAAGAAAAGAAAAAAAAACGAAATAATCCGATGGCGGGGGCGGATGGAAAAGGAACACGACGACGGGCCGGGAATAGAGCCCGTGTCGAATTTGCATTAACGCGGCCCGTCGCGGCGTCAGGCGTCGTCGCCCGATTAGTCGCGGGTCGTGTAAACTCGAATCCTCGAAACCGACGACGTCGCATCGCGATCCGCGCGCGGAAGCAAAAAGCTCTTCTCCTTCTCCTTCGTGTCTTGGGCATCGTCTGCCCGTCACGTGCTCGGTCGCATCAAGTTCCTCGCGATGAAAGGAAATGCACGCGCGAAGAAATGCCTATTTCCAGAACTCAAACATAATTGGATGCATCTAGATGAATGTAATAGGCGTGCTCTGCAGGTTGGGAAGTTTATCCCTCTTTCTACGCTATAGAAATGTAATGTAAAACAAGATGAAAATTGTGCAAATTAGAAACTTGCACATTGCTTCTTCATCATTTTATTTCACTCACAAAGCTTAAGCTCCTTAAAGCAAGCGGATTTTTCAATTTTGGCTTCCTTATAGAGAAAGCTTTCACTGATTCTCACTAGATTCAATGCCAACCATCTTTTGATAATACTCTATTCATGTCAAAACAATTAATCTGATATTTCAAAATTTACGAAAATTAATGTGTATAGATATTTCTCAAAAAATCCAAAATTTTATAAAAAATGAATTCTTTCACCAATCCTCACCAAATTCACACCAACCATCCTTTAATGATACTCCATTTATATAAAAAAATTTAACCCGATATCTAAAATTCTGCAAAAGTTAGAGCATGTACAAACATTTTTCAAAAATTCAAAATTTTATAAAAAATGAACTCTTTCATACATACATACATTTTTTAATAATACATAAATTATTTAGATTGTTTATACATAAATTTTTTAAAAATATGATTTTCCGATATTTTAAAACATTCTAAACACATTGGCATAGAAAACTGAAAAAAAAATTTTGTCACGAAAACAAAGCTTTCTCTGTGAGGGAGCAAAATATGAAAGATGCAGTATGATTCTTTCAAAATTAAGCAAATTATTTTTAAAATTAAATTAAGCCACGCTCGAATGCATTATCGTTCTCGCGAGTCTTTGTTATTTGCATCAGACGGAGTTCATCTGCATTTTCGTGAATATAGTTCCTCATTGGTGGTTTCGCAATTTGTTTTTAAAGAACCAACGTCAAAAACGCACGGCGTGGATCAGGGGCCAGGTGCTTATTTCACACTCAATTTAGAATCAACATGTTTACACCCGCGCGATCTCCCTCGATCCACCTACCTTCCCCTCCCACCGTTGCTGAAAGTGTGGTTGTTTTTGACGAACGAGGCGAACCGCGTTTTGTCATTCGTTCATCATGTCACGTATAATTGTTTTATGCGATTTCTTTGTCGCTCGAAAGCTAATGACTGACAATGAGTGTTTCGTAATTATTTCATGGCCTAATCGCGCAATCTTCTCGCCGACCTTGAGCTCGGTAAAATTACAGCATCGCATTGTTTGAGGAAGTTTCTAATCGTAGCAAACAATGTGCAAAATCATAATGTGAATTAAAATGAAAAATGAAGTTATGTTTAATAAAAGTTCTTTCGAAGGGAAGGGGGTAAATATACAAAATATATCATATGAAGGATTGTATATGTATATATATATGTAGGGTGTCTTATTGTAAAACTTTTCCACGCAATTATCTCTCAAATTATTTGCTATCGAAAAAATATTTTAAATAAACCTTTTTGTGTTTACCATAAAAGATTTCCAATCCGTTGAGTTATATGAGGATTTTTAATTGTAAACTCTGTGCTCGAGAAGGATTTTCGCAATGAAAAAAATTTTTACATATACATATATTTATATATGTATATTTATTTATTTAACTAAAATGCAATTTTTTTTAGGCAAAACGAGTTCTGGATCCGACTGCGACAGCGAACCGGGAATTCCATTGAAGAGAAAACAGCGCCGGAGTAGGACGACCTTCACGGCCCACCAGCTGGACGAGCTGGAACGGGCCTTCGAGAGAACTCAGTATCCTGACATTTACACTCGAGAAGAACTCGCCCAGAGGACGAAGCTGTCAGAGGCTAGAATTCAAGTGTGGTTCAGCAACAGGAGAGCTAGATTGAGGAAACACCTTTCCTCGACCTCCACTGGATATGTCGGTTCCGTGGCATATCCGGCCCCCTCGTACGTTATTCACTCGTCGGCACCGCCACATCCGCATCCTGGAGCGACGGTGCCACCGGGTCATCCTCATGGTCAGGGTCTATCAGACGCGGCGTTCACCTCTGGTCAAGGTAAGCCTAAATATAATAGTGATTCTTTTCTTTGGAAAAACACAGAAATCTAGACTATATTTGGCAGACATTTTTGTAAAAGATATATATATATATATGTATGAAGGTTTTGTAAAAATATATTTTTAATCTCTTTTATATATGAATATCAATGTTACTTGATTTTGAGTCAGAAAATAATATAATTTTTGGTCAGAACATGACGTAACAACTGCATGTAAACTCTATAAAGTTACAGAACTGTACTCGTCCCATCACGCCCCAATGTCTCATCAATTGGCGACGGATTCCGCTCGGCTTTCTTCGTCCATCGGATCGGCTCCGCCTTACAGTTTCCCGACTGCTGTTACTTATCCCAGCCCGATGCTTCCATCGACCACATCCACGACGACTCACATGACTCACCAGGCGACCTCGACATCCTCGAGCTACCAGCAAACGGTGAGCGGTCATCAGCTACCGCCCCCGAGTCCTCTGATCACCATGATGGGACCGAATTCTGGCAACTCAAACTCCGCTTCTGATCAATTATCAGTTCGGTTTCGCCCGCTCAGCAGCAACAGCAACAACAACAGCAGCAGCAAGCGCAGCAACAAACCAGTCACGGAGCGACATCGACGTCATGGAATCTCGCGATCACCGCCAATAGCGGTAGAGTCAATCTCCCGAGTCCGCCGTCCAGTTTACAGCAGCCTCACGCTTATGGCGCTCATCCACATCAGGTAGGTACTTTCGCCAGTCATTATACCGCGCAGAATTTTCAACCGCCCAGACCGACGCCGCAATACTGGTACTAAGAAGTGTGATCTTATAATTAAGACATTAATAAGGTTCTCGTATAGAAACACAAATTCTGGATTTCGCGGGCTAGTAAGAGCCCGACGCAGGATGCTGGTGCGTCAGTTCTAAAGAAAATTAATTCACACCTTTATGTGTGTGTGTGTGTGTGTATATATATATATATGTGTGTGTGTGCCATATAGAAATTGATATTCCGTAATTTGTACGCTATACGGTATTTATTATTTAATGGCACACACCTTAACTCTGCAGTCGTCGCGTGAGATCTTTAATAGTTTTTAGTAAAACCGATATTTAGTAAAATGCATTTTTTAGTAATAAAATACAAACTTCGCCCTTTGACTTTTTTTTTGGTATTTTTCCGACAAGTTCTCCGAAGAAGTTCTCGCGAAGCGCATCGTTATTTTTAACTTGATTGTAATTTTGAAAGTCTTAATCAAGCGACGCGATAACGTCGCGACGCCAAGTACATAAAAAAATACTTATTGGCTTGTCAACAGTTTTGCCTATGTAAATATTATTTCCAAAATAATATATTTTTTTATTTCCCGAAAACCCAATTAAACAAAGAAAATATTTGAGTTCTCGACGTAAAAGATATAAATTGATTTTTTTTATATTGAGATTTCTCACAAGGTTCGATTTGTGTTACGAAAAATAGCGCGACGACTAAAGGGTTAAGCAGGCGCTGATGGAAGTAATAAAATAAAGTTCGGTTTACTATAGTCAGTGGACGCGATATCTCTACTGAAAAATAACAATACACTTAATAAGCACTTAATACTGCCCGAACGTACAGCAGGGAATTATACAAAATGATCATAGGGGATTCATATAATTAAAGAAAGTCGCAAGAGGATGGCAAAGTTTATACCGAGATTAATATTATTTGAAGATAACCGATACGCGCGATTTTAATTCGGACTCTAATACTGGCTTCGATAATTTAGGAGCGCGAAACGTTAGAAAGATCGGTACAATACGTGTAATTCTACTCGGCAAAACACAACGCAATCATCTGATTTCAATATTCGCGACACAATTTCTCTGACGCAATAATTCCGACTATAACAACCGATTTTACATAATTCACGTATAAAATTGTACACGTCACATGGAGCTTGGTATAAAAAAAAAAAATAATTGTTTTTAAGAAAAAGTATGTAATTATTCACAATGAATTTTTTTAAACAATTATTTGTTTTTTTTTACGCTAATTGATTTGCCTTATTATTCTGTATATAAAAGTATTACGGTAAGATTATCGAAAACTAAATATTTTACGAGATATTTTATTTTTTATATCAAAATATGTCAGATTAAAATATAAAATAACTCAAAAAGTACTTAATGAAAAAATACTTTATTTTTTTTTTACTAATTGATTTGTCTCATTATTCTGTACACAAAAGTATTACGGTAAGATTATCGAAAACTAAATATTTTACGAGATATTTTATTTTTTATATCAAAACATGTCAGATTAAGATATAAAATAACTCGAAAAATACTTAATGAAAAAATACTTAATGAAAAAATACTTAATGAAAAATAGTGCTTTGAAAAGCTCTCGAGATAAGCTACAAGAATATGCAATAAAAAAAAGGGGAGTTCCATTTAAGAAAACATCGGTCACATTGACCTCACCTTGAAAAGGTCACTCAAGGTCAAGTCCATATTTTTAACACGTGGCCCCTTTGAAACCATGCAACTTTTGTCTGAAACTTTCTTTTCAAAATTTCATTGTTTACGAGATATTCGACTGTATTCAGACTTTTGGCCTATCCTGTATACATAAAAAAAATTTTCAAAAGGCATGATGACTCGTCTATGTCTCATGCTGATCCTAAATTTTCAAAGTACTAAAATTCGATATCTTAATCTAATTAAAACCGACATTTTTGTAATCTCAGTGGTACTTCTGGCATGAGACCGATCGCCCTGCTTAATCCAAAATCGGCAATAATATCGCCGGAAACACCAAAAATCGCTAAAGTAAGAAAAGGGAAAAAAGAGTGAGAAACAGAGAGAAAGAGAGAGGCAACGACTTCAGAACAATCTAAGATATTTTTAACCAGATGGCTTGTGTACGAATATATGTTCATTTTGCGAACGCTGTGACTTGGCGCTATTATGTCTCTCGATTACGCATGATATATAATTTACATTAGAATTTAGATAGGTTTAGTTATGAAATTTTTATGAATAATTGAATAAGGATAATAATAGTTAGTAATAAAGACGAATTAAGAGAGAGAGTGCACTTCCCCCTTATTGGGGAAATATGAAATAATGTGACTAAATATTTGAAATATCAAAATTTTTTTTATTATTTAAGAAGAAAGATTATTTCAACATAAAACAATGTTGAATATTTAGAAGCGATAAAAAATCTTTAGCATCAAGACCTAAGTGTATAAAAACGTATATTGTGTATAAATCTTTAATTTCTCTTTCAATGTTTTATATTTACAGTGCGACCAAAAACTTAGCTTCTAAACTGTACATACTTTAAAATTCCGTATTTGTACGATATAATAAATAATAATTATACTTTATCGCGGTTTCTTATATAAGAAAGATTTCGTATCAAGGCTTTCTTTTTGTTTAAGATATATTTTCAAAATTTTCCTTTTTTGAATAATATTTTAAACAATTCAAATCTTTTTATATAAGTAAATTGCCTAAAGATTTAAAAAAGAAGTTTGAATGATCATTAAAACATCGCGCATTCAAACAATGAAATAATAAATATAAAAATAAAATCGAAAAAAATTGTTTTGCTTAAAGTAATAATCGAATACGCAATATTATTGCGAGTAATATTTTATATATCTTTTTTATAATATTTTTATAAGAAAAAAAAGCATATTTAAAATATTTTATTTATGTATGAAATTTAGAATTTTTTTACTAATTTAAAAAAATAGATATTTTACACGAAATATTTTTAAAAATATTACGTCTGTTATCTATTTTAAATAATTTCATAAATAATATTTATACTCGATTCGTACTCGATGATCATTTTGCACAGTACAATTGTTTTTCGGTTGTTTCTTATATTGTATAATAATAATATTTTAGAAATTATATACTCTTAATAATGTCTTAATTTTAATGATTTTATTTTAATGATTAGCGAGAATAATTGTTCCATCGCTCGTATGCATGTACAAATTTTAATTATGTTAAATAATTAAATCAAATAAGTTAATTATTGGTTTCTTTCTCGCTATGACAGAATAACTATAATGCGAGGAAAAAACTAGAGATAAATATGCAGATCAATATCCATCCAAGAGTAAAAAATGTGCTATTTTTAGTATAAATTTTGGTGTTTGTTTACGGTACTGCATGTAAAAATGAAATAAATGATGAATTACTACATTTTCAAAATATACGAAATATAGTTATATAAATATAGTAATAGCGATTCAAATTGCAATTGATTTTTTATTACATGGGTTTTTGGATTGCTTCTGATACATATTATTTGTAATAAGTTTAAAATTTGTTAGCTAAAATTATTATTATTTAGTTACATTTGTGTGCACATCTTTTTCATATTTTTTTTTCTTATAATTGGAGCGAGTTTTTTCTATTTTTTAATTTCGCATTGATATATATCCGAGGAGTATGATATAAACTATCAATGTTTTTCAAGCATTAGATAAGACTTACACTTGCATTTTTATATGCATTAAAAAATAATCGAGATGTAATTTAAATAACGCTATACTATATACATAGTATATTTATATCATTGTATACCTCGGATATGTGAAACGAATACATTGTATTTGTATTGAGTATATTGTGTCAATATGTGCAGTATTGTACAAAATCAGCTAAACGGAAAAAATTAATATCAGCTGATTTATGAAAATCTATAATAAATGACAGTTGTAAGAATAATTACAAATGAGTGTTGCAAATTTTATGCGATATCATTGACAAATTTTGATCGTTTATAATTTAAAAACAACTAATGCGCTCGACATTTTTATGTTAAGATTTTCTATTCTACCTTCAGAATGTTAATTATTGTACGGTGGTTGTGAGACCACTCTGCATGTATATGTATATGTATATATATTTGATATAGTTACTAAATAAAAACTTAAGTGATACTTGTAATATATTAGTTTCCTTATTGATTATGGATTTGCCCTTATTGATTTTTAAGAATTTTGTATAAGAGTAAGAAGAGAAAAGATTAAGAAATACTAATAATATTATTTTATTGTATATTGTATATTTTTTTTTAATTTTGATAAAAATTATCTTTACTATATCGTATATTAATTAACCAAAGACAATAATATGTATAATATATTTCGTTACATTAAAATATATATCTAAGTTCTTTTATAAATAACGAAAATATTACATTGTTTTCATTATGAGATGATAAAATCTAAGTTGCATTATCAAAAAGATACAAATATATATATATCTCTTCGCAATTTATTCGATTGTTAACTGTTGCTTATGTAATTTCTTCCTTGCCTATCTCAATTTTATCTCTTGATAATATACCCTGTGAGCAATTTGTTAGCTTCTCTTTTGCCGCTCTAGAGGGACATGGAAACTGGATTTCAATTTTTTCATCTATTCTCATATGTTCAATAATTACTGCTAATTTATTTCTCAAGTAACGTTTCATCATGTAATGTTTATGTCAGTTGCAATTTTATATTAAATTACATGATAATATTTTTTAACATCCATTGCTTGCTTCACTCGTTTCGTATGTATTGTCAATTTTCAACTTCGCCCCTAAAGTTTTCTTCTATTTGCATTTAATGCAACTGTTACAAAAAATATGTTCATCACACGGATACAATGCAGTAAAAATATAAATGGTAGCGTCTTTGTCTTGGGTTACCATCGTTGGATATAATTGTACGACGACATAGCCGAATGAGGTAGAGATGAAAGTGGTAAACGGTCTGAGGACGCTTATGTACTTGGTAGGATACAACATATAATACTCTGCTTTTGTCCAAGGAAACGTCAAAAGCCAAATGTTCCGGACGCCTGCTGTTCAATTCATCGTAAAAATCGCAAGATATATCAGGAAATTTTTCAGGAAGCTAATATTCAGAAAAATTGATTCTACTTCTATATTTGCTTTATTTCATCATGCGCGCACGCGACTACTCTTTTACAGAAATTAAGTTAATTTAATTATTTAAATTAATATTAATCAAATTAAATTATTTAATTTAAGTAGTTAAATTAAGAGATTAATTTTTAAATTAATTTAATTCTTTAGTTATTTAATCGGAATGCGGGATGTTACATGTATATAAAAATTTCATTATTTTATTTATCTTTCTTAAATCAATTACACAACTTTTTTCACAAGATTTTCTTTTTTTGGATGGTCCCTTTTTGGATATATAATATTAATTGATCATCTAAAACATCTAAAAATTTAAAAATAAAAAAACAAGATTCTCGCAGTAAAACCAATATTTTTAATTATTTATCCATTTTTTATACACAAACAAGAAAGGAAAATTAAGCTTTGGGTTTTTAAAGATTTTTTATACTTCATAAAGAAATAATTAATTAAGATACAACAAGCGATAAGCTGCGTTTTTGCAGATATGCGTACACTTGTTTAAGTATTACTATATTAATTACTATTTATCCGATACAATAATAAGATAAATAAGAAAAGAAAACAAATGAAATACCTCATTTTAATCATCATGTTTGCATTTTAAGAGTTATTACACGTAAGTAAAAATAAATAAAATAAAAATAAATATATACACATTATATATAAACAAAATGCAACTATAAAATATCACTTGGAATTTTACTTTAAAACGCTGTGAGGATTGAAATATTTCTCTCTTTGTGACACTGTCAACTTCAATGTATACCAAATTCACATTCTCGTCACGTAAATTATTATACAAATCGAACAAATGAAAATGTATGTAGCTACATACGCGATGTCGTCATTCCAAATATAATAAACACGAGTCTCATTCGCAGCGTTTATTAGTCGTTAAGTAGTTAAACAGCCAGTGTGCACACTCATTTAAAAAAATGACAAGGCGTCTTGAAAATCTTTGAAGGCAACGTATATTTTTATCAGTATTGATACCGATAGCAATGAAACGTATCGCAAAATATATCCAACTTCTCGGCCGTCTTTTAACGTGAACGATACTTTTGTCCAGTGAAAAAAATTTGTTCTCAGCAATCAACTCAACAAACTCATCGCTGTATATTTGTTTATCGATAGTGGGATATGTTCCTAATGAACCTTGTGAAAAGAATGACGTAACCTAAAGAAATTTTGATTAAAAAAAACTTTTTAGTTCTAATATAATTGTAAAATCAGTGCGTAAGAGGTAACTTCGTTTGCATTGCATCGACAATTATTGCAGTCTAAAAAAAATGCTTTCTCCCACACACGAAGACCATCGTTTGATTCAGGTAGGTCAAAGCACTTGCCCAATTCCATTTCCTTGCTTGTGATACGATGCTCTTTATTAAAAATAGTCCTCTGACAAACTGCTGTGTACATTTGACCAAAAGACTTATTTTAAATATCTCAATTTATGTATTATTGCTCAAGATTAAGATCAAACTACCAAGTTTTTTTATAAATAATTTCGACTTTTCTGTAAAATAACAATAATTGTTTAAGCTTATTTTTTCAATGACATATATTTCAATATTTTTTAATGATTTATTTTTATTTACAATTTTAAATGTTTTGATATATCTGTATTCATATCTGTATAATATATATGTATCCTAAATCTTCGAATATTATCTGCATAAAATTATAGATAAAGTTGTATCCAAAATGTTACTGCTAGTTGGATTATTAAAATGAGCTTTACCTAATAAATAAATATTCAGAAATAGAGTTTAGAAAAAATATTTTAAATCAGATCCCAAAATTGCAATTGACTTTGGCCTTATCCGCTTCATTAATTAAAATGATTATATTGCGAAATGATAAAGTATTAATCACAAGATAATGTGATAAAATGTCAATACAATTGTCTTAGCAAATCAACTTTGATTAGCTATCTTAATTCAAATATCCGGAATACGTCGCAAAATTTGTCGCAGTTGCATGAATTTCTCGTTCGCGCCAAAGAGTTACGAAAGATTTCAACGGATCTCTTTGAATATCACATTGTTGGCCAGCCTCGGAGATCGTTTCGTGCACGCGATATAGTTGCGACGGTTTAATCTCCTTACGCAAGCGCTAAGAGTTCCGCGATAACATATGTCTTATTGCGTACAGTCTTATAACAAGTCTGGCTGAGTCGTCTTTAATCGCTTCTAATTCGTAAGCGCGTGCCACCCGATGACCTCCGACATCGATACCCAACATCATCGGATAACACATCGCTTCTTCGGACCCTGGGCATGTATGTTCCCTAACATTTCTTTGTCATAATAATTATCATCGATGATATCATTAAAGTTCATTTTTAATTATAAAGTAGATAAGAGAAAAGATAATTTTTTTATTCCAGACACATGTGACAATTCTCTTCCAAATGTATTTGTTATTTGATATATATAATAAAACGTTATTTAGAATTTTATGTATCAAATTTGTGAAAAAAGATATGAAATATTCTTAAAATCGAAAAGATACGCGTATGTGTATTAAAAGTACAAAGTAAGTGTGTGTTCTTTAGATAATGAATTCTATTTTATTTAAATATTCTAAAAATATCTGGATATTTTTGAGGGTTTACTTGTAGTGTCTCTCTGCTACATTAAATCTCGTCAATAGAAATTAATGTAGCGCGACAGCCCGTGGGACAATAATTTGGCTTCAAGGTTGCGTCGACAAATTAAATGAACTTAAGAAAACAAGGAAGGAAATAATACTCGCAAATTTACTAAATTTATCTACTAGAATCTTACAAAAATTTTATGCAACAAATTGTCGCTCGTAACTTTTGGTAATGTAATAACGTGAATGAGAAAGAGAAAGAAAGAGAGAAAGACATATTATTACAATGTTATTATTCCGCTTGTGATTATATTACGCTTTGTTGTACAAAGATTAGCATTATTTGCTTATATGAAGTCTCGTGATACTGTCAGTTGTAACGATACCGAAAACGGCCGTCATCGTTGCTTTAATCAAAACCAGTATTGTCTTAATCGCATTTCGAGTACTCGAAATAATATTAATTATATAAAATTATATATTACGTATAAATATATAGAAAAAAAAAATTTTTAATCTAAAAAAATTAAATATTTATTTACAGACATTACTTAATTTTTATCTAAAACTAAATACAAATAAATTAAGGACTTTTTATTTAAATTGTTCACGTACAAGAGATAACATTAATTATAATGTATAATTTTCCGATGGATATAATTTAACTACTATAAAATGTACTTTTTAATGGGTGTCCAGGCAAGAAGTCCAACATATAGGTATACCTCATTAAAAGAAATTACGCAAATCGATACCGAGAAAACCGGAATGAATTTTACGAGTCACAATATAAATCCATATCGCAGAATTTATCGATTGATACAGGAAGTCAAATTAAAGTAGATGAATATTAATTAGCCTTTCACTTTGGGGTCCAATGGCGAAATAAACAGGTGTTTCGGATTAAATACTCACATGTAAATACTCAATTAAATACTCAATTATATGACGCATTATAAATTTTAGTTAGTATATACAATACATGACGAGAAGATACGATTTTGATTAACACGATTGATATAATACTATGTTTTTTCGATTATCTATTATCGATTGATTCTGAGGAAGCAAGATATATCGTATTTCTATATGCATGCATTTGATTTTAATCAGCTTGGAATAATAAAACATGACGCATCATAAAAAATACTTTATATTTCTGTATACAATTTTAAATCTATATTTTCATAAATTTATCTTGAAATTTATACCGATCCTTTAAACTTATAATATGTTGATATTTTATATAATCGTTAAAACAATGGACAGTATTTAAATAATTCATAATTATAGAGCAATTAATATTTCAGAATTAATTCAATGTCGAAAAGTATATTCACAGATTTAGCGCGCGAAAGAATACATAGAGTTATGTGAAAAAAATTTCCAATCTAAACAAGATATTGCTATTATATTTATTATACTTATTATGCAGGTGTCCCCAATTTAAATGTCAAAACTTTAGGAGCGTGTAGGGGACCGATAAACTAAGACAAAAAGTCCTTTAGAGATTTGCTCGTTTCTGCTTCGTTTTGAAGAAAATCGCAAAAAATGAAAAATTTAATTTTTACCAAAAAACTTAAAACAACACTAAAATTATTAGATTTATCAAAAAGTATTATAAAATAAAAATTGTAGAACATGGAATTAAGAAAAGAGAGTGAGTTAAAATCCTCCTGAGGTAAAATTAGAGGATTGTAGATAAATACGCGACAACGCGAAATTTGGTTTCTAATCTAATTTTACCTCAAGAGGATTTTAACTCACTCTCTTTTCTTAATTCCATATTCTACAATTTTTATTTTATAATACTTTTTGATAAATCTAATAATTTTAATGTTGTTTTAAGTTTTTTGGTGAAAATTATTTGTTTCATTCTTTGCGATTTTCTTCAAAACGAAGCAAAAACGAGCAAATCCCTAAAGGACCTTTTGTCTTAGTTTATCGGTCCCCTACACGCTCCTAAAGTTTTGACATTTAAATTGGGGACACCTTGTATATATATATATATAAATAATAATATTTTATAATAATCATAATTGGATTATTTTTCTCCTTTTTTTTCTATCGATTAGAGCAATCTTGAAACGTGACGATAAATTTTTTTGTCCACTAAAGTCGCATTTATTAATGCAATTACTATACCTGACCAAACATTACCAAGCAGAATTATGTGACCCGCCAACCATTGTTTTTTTTTTTACGTAATCATCTCTTTATCAGTCCCAAAATAGAGATGAAGCGCGGTGGATGTATATTTGACATTCGCAAATGTCGCTCCGCGCCGATCCGGCAAATCGTCACTCGTTGTCGCGAATCGGAGTGATCTCGGAGTGGAGAAATGTAGCCGAGTGCACTAGATAAACTCCCTGCGTCGTCTTCAGTCAATAACGAGTTCCCGGTTAGCGCTGGTCACAACCGCCGCCTGCACGTCTCGCGCTAATCGAGAAGCTCGCGAATGTAAATCGGTGTAGCTCCCCCACGAAGAGTGATATTCCCGATTACCGCTCGAAGAGGATCGATTGTGCGCGCGTATAGACAGTTGATTTTTACAATTTTTCGGAGCGATATCTCGGAGACATCACGCGCGCATTTCGCTTGAATCGCAAACAATGGAACAATAGATTAGACACGTGTTTGTAATTGTTATATAAAGATCAAAGATTAAATACATAATCTTATGTGCGAGTAGATTATTCGTGCAATTATTCGCAGAACTTTATTGAGCGAATAGGACAGGCAATTTTTAGCGGAATAAACAACGATATTTATAATACATATATGTGTGCGACGATATTATATCTAAGACAAAAAAAATTAAAAATAGAGAAGAAGATGGCGCTTCTCGTATTTAAAGTCCGCGGAACATTATAAACGGCAACAGTATATAACTCGGTCCAATTAATTACCTTCAAGTCATCCGAAACTTTGTTTAAGTAATCGGCTCTCAAGTCACTCTCGTATCTTTTAAGCAGTCAGCGTGCAAACAGTCGATGAATGTTGATGAGATTTAAAGCACTTTATAATATGATATCGAGCTAATTATCGAATATATAAATACTCATTGAGGATTATAAAGAGATATAAAAAGTATCGAGCCGTGAAAGAAAGAGCGAGAAGAGAAGTGGTACTTGAAAGATAAAAAAAGATTGATACCGTTTTTTTTTAAATTATAAATCATAATTTTGTGCTCGATAATATGCCAAAATATTATTAAATTATTGTCATATTATTAGATTAATTAAAATAATCGAAACAAGTGTATTGTAAGGAAAAAAGCATCATGGCGAATATAATAGACATTAATAATGCAAATAGACGAACGGATATTAATGATGCGAATAGACAAACGGACGTTAATAACACTGAGTTAACGAACATTAATAATATCGTGAATGCACAAATCGAGATTATCAATACAAATGGACACATATCGACTTGTGTCGAGTTCAAGGTACATATATATATTTTATACAAAATGCAATGAATCTCTGTATTTAGATGTCACAAATAAATTGCATTTTTTTTCTAAATTTAAGAAAGTTGTCATTTCTTTATAAATCTTAATGCTCTTCATGTTCCTTTTTCATTTTCTCAAGTAATCTTTTCTCTATTCTTCCGGCGTTATTGCTGAAATAGTTTCTCGAGGTGAATAGTTTTTTTCGAGAATTAGTAACAGAAAAGAATGATGCTTGTTTTTTTTTCAAATTTGTCTACATTATTTTTCATTATTCAATTTTGCCTTCAAGAGATTATCGGGAACACATTGTTTTCACTTTCTGTAATTCTCTTTCTCTTCTGTAAGTAAGGATTTATCTTTAAAAAATGTTCATATATATCCCCCGCGTTGTGATAATGCTTCAGAGTTTATCAAGTTTATCAAGTAGTATTAGTCGATCATCCAATAATTAAACGGGCATTTTCATAAGACACGCTGGTACGCGTTGCAATTATTCATGCTCCTATCGCTTAAAATATAATTATATTCGGATGTATCTTATATTTGGATATTGTTAAAATTGTTTGACAGTTTTCTATTTATCATAAGATTTAATATACGGATCATAGATTTTAAAATTACAAAAGAAATACTACAAAAATTATAAAAGATGTACACAATATGGAAATGCAGACGACAATCTAAACTTTAATTAGTTTTTACTGTAATTAAATCTAATTACTTCTTACTCTAATTAACTCTTAATTTTATTCTTTTGCAGATGGAACCCAGCGTTGACGAATTGAAGAAATGGGAACGAGATGGAATAATTTATCAAGTATGTGTTAAAATTTCTTATATACTCTTATATAAATGACATCATTATTTTTTAATTAATTACTTTTCTTAAAAGACAAAGATATAAATAACTTAGAATATTACGTCATAATTACGGACGGTAATATCACTTATCAAATGTTCACATTTATATACATAAATGTAAATGACATCGTGGAATAATGAATATATAAAGCACATCGCTGATAAATATACTATCTCAAAATCTACATCAAAAAGAGCTAATATTAATATTAAATAATAATCAAATATTAAATTAATTATCTTTAATTTATTGTCCAAATAATTTATTTTTCCGATTGCGTGAATATTATTACGCTATTTACGGCGGTCGTCAAACACAAATAATTTCACAATAAGGAATATTAAAATCTGTGTAATTTTTTAAACATCAATGTTACGTCTTAATGTCATATCACCGTCCATTTATTATATTTTTTTTTTTTATTACCTTGGAATTAAAATACAACATCCGCAAACTGGAAAGTAAATGATGAAATAGAAGCAAAATATATAACAGAACGGATTTCCTAATCAACTCGATGTATTCATGAAAAATTATACAGTTTGTTAAAGGAAATATCACACAATCATATCAATAACATTATTAATTCGGAATTGTAAAAGAAGTCTGCAAAAATAAATTATCTTTATTCTTGCAGCGAGAGGATAAATATTAGAGGAGATATATGTACATATAAACGAATAAAAATCTCAACTTCGTCAAAAAAAAAAAAATTGCTCTTCTTGCGATTTTTATTTGCATTATGATTTATCCGTATTTGCATTTCTTACTACGCATCTAGGTTTCAGTGGCGTGCGTTTTCTCATTTTACGGCAACCAAAGCAATTTTTAAAAAGTTTCAGTTAAGTTTTTATTACGGTTTTTCATATATAAAATGTCGCGATTCTTGGACAACAAAAAATGCAATTATATATCGTATATAACTTATCCTTAACATTGCAAAAAATTTCAAATCTCAATATCATCGCACAGTAGTGATAAGATATACTCTATCTATGTTACACACAAGGTATTTTTTGTAATGTACGTCATAATATCTTCATCACATATATATGAAGCCTTGCGCATGAATTACATCACATTCGGCGCTTCGAGCCGAGTAAAACTATGATTTTTCATCGCGAGATTTTAAAACGTGTTTTTAATTGTCGGCTGCGTTTCCTCTCGTTCCCACGATCGTTCGTTAAACCGGTTCTAATGATATTCGCATGCATAACAGTCGCACCGATAGGTGATTACTCCGATAAAAAAATTCGATGACTGCATGATACGCGCCTTAGTTGACTTCAGCATGTCATGATACACTATTTGCAATGCCCCCTGCATCTGTTTACCGCGTTTTCGCATCACATGCTTAACGGCTATAAATTATCTGGTTTTCTCTAGTTTTGTCGAGGAGATTTGCTACTATCGCGTGTTGTCGCACAATTCCTCTTGATATCGCCTGTCACTCTTTCGCCTGATTTACAATGTTTTTTTCTACAGATATTGATGTGCTTATGCGTCAATGTTGTCATGCTGGGTCCATCGATGGGTTTTGGCTACAGTGCCGTGGCGGAGCCTGCGATGAGAGCCCCAAAAACCGACGATGTGCAACTCGACGCCGTTCAGGCAAACTGGATGGGTGAGTGATGTAAAAATTTGTCGAAAGATTCTTTACGACTTTCGATTATCGGAAAGAGAAATTTGTATTATCTCTTTCTTTATTTCATGAGAATTATTTTTCACGCCGCAGCTACTGTATCAGCAATAGGTACACCCTTCGGTTGCATAATCTCGAGCCTCGTGATGAGACGAGGAAGGAGGATCAGCCTGTTCATGACGTCGTTGATCTCACTGGCGGGTTGGGTGACAATTTACACGTCGAACAGTTACATGCAGATTCTGGTGGGGAGAACAATTTCCGGTATAGCTACGGGGATGTCGGCGGTTCCGATAACGGTGTTCGCGGCGGAAATAGCGGGATCAAAATGGCGAGGTTCAATGATCACGTGTACCAGTATCAGCACCGCTCTAGGTCTTCTCATCGTTTACATCTTTGGATATATTTTGAAGGTAAACGAGTTCGGGAATTGCATTTAAATCAAATTGATCTCATATCTTGCTGCTGTCACGATTTGTTAAAAAAAACAATAATAAAAACTCTTATTTAAACAAGTCTGAGATTTGTTTAAAAGTGCCCTAAATTAAATGCGTATCGCTGTGGTTATATAATCATTGGTATATGTGCGGCATATAATACGAAAAATAATGCAATCCTTACGATTCTGTTTTTTTTTTCTTTTAAAGGATGACTGGCGGTTAGTGGCCTTGATGTGCGCTCTATTTCCACTGATGGCGATCGCTCTGATTTTGCTAGTAATACCAGAATCACCACTATGGCTGCGGGATCAGAATCGGCCCGATGAAGCGCTAGAGATCATGAAAAAATTTCGCGGCGTACCAAAGGACCAACCAGCTCCGGCGGAACTTTTGTTCGAGCTGAAGCCGCGGGCGCAGAAGAAGAATCAAAATCTGCTGCAGCAGCTGCTGAAGAGGAATTCCCTGGTGCCGTTAGCCATAATGCTCACGTATTTCTTCTTTCAGCAATTCTCTGGACTCTTCGTTATCATATACAACGCCGTCGATATTATGGACAAATCTGGAATCCAGGTGGATCCTTACATCGGCGCCGTCCTGATAGGCGTCGCACGTTTCTTAACCAGTCTCATAACGGCCAGTGTGTCTCAAAAATACGGCCGACGGATCCCATCGATGATTTCCGGCATCGGGATGACAATTTTCATGGGCGCCCTATCGCTCTACCTCTACCTGGCCGAGAACGGAACTGTCATGCCGGACAAGGGGGTGATCCCGGTAGTGTGCATGATGCTGTACATCTTCATGAGCACTCTGGGTTACCTGGTGATCCCGTTCGCCATGTTGGGCGAGGTATATCCGTCCAAAATCAAGGACATACTATCCGGCCTGACGGGCGCTACAGGTTACATCTTCAGCGCGATAGCTGTTAAAACGTATCCTGATATGCTGAGACTGATGAACATGCACGGCGTGTTTCTCTTCTTCGCCATTATCTCTTTCGTCGGCGTGATATTCATTTTGTTATTCTTGCCCGAGACGAAGGGAAAGACTCTGCGCGAGATCGAGGACATGTTCTCCAAGAAGAAGGTCTTTGAGTTACCGGCGGAAGGGGTTGTCGAAGAAAGAGCAGCTTCAAACGTCGTCGGTCTTCTAAGAAATTAAGAATATTTATTGTTTATATGGACGAAAAAAATAAACCGCGGATCGTAATTAGTATTAGGTATTTGAAGGAAGGCGAGATCAAACCGTAAATTGATAAAATAAACGTCACGTCGTTTTGTGATGTTTCGAGATGCAATGATTCAAAAGGTATAATTAAAATAATGAGATAACTCAATATTTATTTTAAATACGAGATCTCTTTTTAATGTGTTGTATATTTTGTAAAGATCTAAAGAAATTGTAGAATGATGATGTAAACAGTGTATTATATGTATATCAAAACATACCTTTATAGTCGAAATAAGTTCGCAAACTATGTAAATTTAGAGATTAGATTCGTATCAGTCTGGGATTCACATAAAAGAGATCTCGAGAAAGATAAGACGACTTGTATCGGATTATATTTTATTAAAATCCAATATTTACCGTGCAATACTTTGAGTGGAGCTATATCCTCTTAAGTAAAGTCCAAGGTTCCATAATATCATTGTATTGTAAATACTTTCTCATCGCAGAAAGGTAGATTAAAGTGTCATCGTATTGCTGAAGATCTAAAAAATGATATTGCGTAAAGTGTCGATAATACGTGTAATTAATTAAATATAAGACTTATTCATTGTGTAATATCACACTCTCGACAATTAAAAATATTGAGACTTAATAGTATTAAAGAGCGGAGAATAGGTTCTTATCTAAGTGCTGATCACAAACAAGTCGCGCAAATAACGCATCATTAGTTTGTTTGCATTAAATCGTTCTTACGTAAGATAGTTGTCTCGTGACAGTACAATCCAAAATTTTATACTCTGAGTTAAATCCGACTGCCTACGGTTACCGATTGAAAACTTTTGGACTATTTCTGTACTATTTCTGTTTATTGCCAAGTCAATGTCCGCAACGTTGAGCATCATCTGTCTTTTCTTAACTTTCGGCGGGCCACGAAGTCTTTTTATTATTGCATTTCTAAAACTAAATGGTCAATATAATTTCGGTTTTTTTTTTTTTAAATAGAATTCCTAAAATATCCTTTGTATTAATTTTTCATCACCTTTTTGTTATTCTTTCTAATTATTAAAATTCAAAATACGAGATTTTCGTACGTTTTGCGTATAAAAAATGCAATTTTTGATAGCGATTATCTCGCGTTCGGGACGGTCAATAATTTTTAAGTTATACAAACGTGTAGATATCACATTTATTACCGTATAGTTAAATTTTCAAATTTTTCTTGTTAATTGCGATTTGCGAGACAACTACCTTAATAGACGCTGGTTAAATCTTTTGATTTATTCTCTGCGCGATGAAGTCAACAGCCACGGTTTGCACGGTGATAATGAACGATAACGAGCATAGAAATATATTCGCGTATCACGTCAGAATGCATTTCTGCATTCTGCAGTAACGTTGCATACGTTATTTACATATTCAAGATTAAAGAGACTTTTCTGATGCGATCGGAATTTACTCCGCGACTAGAATATCATTTTGTGAACGATTGTATTTTATAACGAGTTATGTATCTACTTTCTTTCGTACAAATTATTTTACGCGGAAAAGTCGAGCGATTTTGTAGAACTTTAAAAATTATCATTTCTAAAGTTCTCCCGCAGTTGATCAAATGTGAATCAATTTACAATCAAATTTACAAATTCATGTAAGCTATATTAAAAATGTATTGTACATATGACGATTTGACGATGTAAATACATACGTATTATATATATACATATATAAATGTCTCTCGTATTTTATTATTAAAATCTTAAATAATAAATTAACAAATTGCGTAACAATCACGATAATTAAATAACAAACACAAAATAATGTACAATTTACGAAGCGTGGAGTATAAATGGAGTTCGGTGGAGAAACAAGACGAGATGGGGCGACGATTATCATGATTACTGACAGTAATAATAGGGATGATAATAATAGTAAGTGATATAATATATATAATATATAATAATAATAATAATATAAAATAAATTGTAATATGTAATAATAATTAACGTAATACTCTAACAGATGCACAATAATCAAAATAAATTATTACCTGCGAGGTAGTACAGGAAGAGAAATATTATTTGTCAAAAATCGAGAATTCGAACATTTCGAGAAAACGACGTCGTGTCTTCGCAGTTTTGTTCTTTAACGCGACCCTTTACATTTCTTTTCTCCCCTGTCTGCTCCCGTGTTCCTAAAAAAAAATTACTTCGCACCATCTTACGTCATGAGATTTTTTAAGCGACGATATACAACAACGAAATACGTGCGCGTATTATAATTTAATAACGCTACAAGTCGTTCAATATGACAAGAAGAAGAAGAAATGAGAGCGCAATATACGACGCAGAATTTACACGCATGAGAAATACAAAATTCGCGCTTTTCTATCGTGAAAATAAAAATAAAATCTTTCGCAAAATTCATTGTTGCGAATAGATTTCGAAGCTTGTAACACGAAACCGCGCATTCTTTGACAAGAGATAAATGCCATTGTGTTAATATACGTTTAAACGAAGGTGCTATTGTTCAGTCTTCTTCTTCTTCGATTATCTTTAAATGTTAAACCGAAGTTATATATACGCGTGAATCGTCCGGACTTAAGCCCTAGCACTCTCTCTGTTGTGATATCCATTTTGTTAACATGTCAACGAGAGGGATCTCACCTTACGAATGAGCATTCGCCAAATAATAAGCGAGGCGTGATGATTTCTCCAAAACAATTCTCGTTCATGGTCGAGTCTTAATGGCCATCTATCACTTGATTCAGCGAGAATATCGTGAATGATCTCGTAGCTTTGTATGCGATAATTCATCGCTGCAATTTTTAACCAATCGACTTAGAACAAGAAATTAAAGATCTCCTAATATAAATTAACACACAAGATTAAAATTTCAGGATTGACATTAAATGTTCGCTCAAATTAATTTCTACCTATTATCTATAATACTTTTCAAATTGAATCAAATCGTATAACTGTCAATTAAATCCAAATCTCACAAAATATAAGATAATTAACAAAATATAGAGGATGATTAAAAAAAATCGAAACTGGGCTCCGCGCTTTCTTGCGCCTAGGGCATGAGTCGAGGAGCGATCCAATTAGCTATCTTAACGATCTAATAATGTCAGTAAAGCTCTATTGGCGGAAATCGAATATCTTCCACACTCATTTCCGTTTCTAACCCTCCCTAACATCAGTAAAGCTTCATTCAAGTCAAAAGCCTCTTTTTAGCTACTGGTTCTCCGTAATATTTAATAAAAGCTCCGCCGACGCATGAAACGCTTACGTCCTGTCGCCATCGTTTGACGACATCGAATATCGTCTTTTCAACCTTGCATTCCGCGATCGGCAGCGAAATTTTCGGGAGCCCAGCTCGTGATCGAATCGACACAGATGTCGAATGTCATTCTCGATTATTCGACGAGAAGTCGAAATAATCGCATTCCGACTTTGTCGACCCGACCGGATTCGCTTTTCGTCGTCGTCTTCCTACCCTACCGTCTCTCGAAGTGGAAGTTGAAACTCTTCTCCGGAAGCGCCAGGTTGCCGATGGGGACTTTGTAGTTCTCCTTCTCCACTGGCAGTATGTTGAAGTTCTTCAGCAGAGTGCCTATCGTTGAGAAGCTGATGTACTGGACCATCTTGTAGCCCATGCAGGATCTCCGGCCGCCGCCGAAGGGTAGGAAGTGCTCCGGTTTCAAGAGTTTGCCATTCTGTACGAATCTCTCTGGCATAAACTCCTCAGGAGATGTCCACAGCTCCTCCGACATATTCAGGTCGTAGTTGTTCAGGAAGATAAACGTGTCCTTCTCGATCTTGTAGCCTAAAATAAAGGATCAAGTCAGTTCCACAAAATTCTTAGAATTACCACAAATTTTATTATATTAATAAAATTCGCAAATATTCATCGATATAAAATTGGAGATCCGCAAATTGTATTACTACTTTGGAAATTATCGGAGCGATTGATTGAGACGAGAAAAACTACATGACATTTATTAACGTTTGACATTTGACGTTTGACATTTGACGTTTGACATTTGACGTTTGACTTATTGTCAAATGTCAAAAAGGAGAGAGAAAATTACTCACCGGCCACGGAACTATCCTGATTGGCCACGTGCGGTACGATCGGGCTGGCGATCAGTCTGATCGCCTCGAGAACGATGGCCTCCGTGTATGGCATTTTTCCCCTGTTCTCGAGGCCGACGAATCTGCCCGGAGTCCCTACTCCGTCGATCTCCATCTGCGCCGCTCTCTGCACGTGCGGTCGGGTGACCAGGTATCCGAGTATCTTGACGAGGAGATTGCCGACAGCCGAGTGACCTCCTACGATGTCCTCCAGCGCGAACATTGCTATGTCCCAGCTCATCTTAGGCTCGGCGTCGGTCTTGATGTGATTGATCAGACAGTCCACGTAATCTTCCTCGGGCATGATCGATTTCCAGTTGACCAGACGGTCCCCGATGACGTACTTCTCCATGAATCGCTTGACTTCGTGAGTCCAATTAATCATCCTCGTCATGTTTCTCTGGTGCAGCGGCATCAGGAACGGCATAAAGTCCGCGGCGTAGCCCTGGTTCACCTCGTAAAACACCTTGTCGAAATTCTCGACCATCTCGCGGAAGGATACGTCGCCGAGGGGGAAGCTGCGCGAACAGAAGTACTTGAGGAAGACGTTTGCGCACGTGTGCATGATAAGCGGCTTGGTGTGCAGGCTCTTGCCAGCAATGCCATTGAGATGATCGACCAGCAGCTCTACCTCGGCACCGATGATACCGTTCAGTTGGTTGTATCGTGTGGTGAAGGCACGGGGGAAGGTGTGCGCTCGCAGCATTTCTCTTCGTGTCTTCTGAACGTCCGACCAGTTGCAGAACGCCAGGGCTGTGGGAAAAAGAAATTCGCACATATATCCCAATCCATCTCGCTGAAATATCTTTCGAGAATTTATTCGGAGAGAATATATCACGAGATATAAAAAAGAAATAGAGAGATAATTTTTCAAAACATTTTCACATTTGCTATTATATACTCTCCTCGACTAGTTTCGCTTCTTATTACACGACGATTCATAACGACTCGCAACGGAAGCAGCTGACGTCGGGGCATCGTGACAGCGAACATACCTATTCCACGAACGCATCGCGGCTCAAATTACCGAATCAAGCGGCGGCGTTGAACTTGGCCTTGTTACTGCGCGTAACGACGCGTTTCAAAACGTCATCGAATTGCAAAAATTTGTCGACGCGTGCTTTCTACCTTGCGCGGGAATGTAATGCGAACGATGCGGCATCGATTCTCATAGCCGGCCGGTATGCTCGATATATGAAATCGAAGGCGGGAGAAAAGACGACAGCAAGAAATGACCCGGTTTCACGCCACCTGAGAACCTGAAGATCTTTTCGTGACTCCTCCATCCTCGCGTCACCTATTTTTTTACGATGACCCAGCAATATGTTATCAAGTGTCATTAGGATTAAAGAGAGTTGCATCTCGAAATATTTCTTTCTCGATTGCCATTTTAACGTTTTGTGTGTAACTTGAAGAAATATTCTAGATTTTTTAATAATAAATAAATATATATTAGATAATTTTTACAATCTAGAGTTATTTAAAATTATTCAAAAAAATCATAAAAAGATATATTGTTAATATTGAGATGAAAAGAATCAAGAAATTGAGCAGATAATAATATTTGACCTGTAATACACGAGAAATATATTTTAAAAAGATATGATTATACGTATTAAAATAAATTATGCTATGTAATCGGGAAAGAATGGACGAATGAAATGGAAGGAGTTAAATCGATCGTCTCGCATCGCGGTGTACGGTGGCAGCATTTCTGGTAAATTAGCCTTGATCCTGTTTGTCGACTGCCGGGTAAGCCAGATACGCGTGAAAGTGGTACCGTGACCTTTCCGACTGCACTTGGTACCGCTTCTCGCGCTGACCTTAGCACGAGTTTCGGCGCGGACCTGACGAAAGCGCGAGAGAAATATGCGGTGCGCGACAAATAAATATCGAGTGCGTACGCCGTACGGTATGCGTGATTATATGCGTGAGTCGGTCACGTGTCTCGCGCGACACGCAGCAAGGTTATTAGCATGAAAAGCGATTTTTCATGATTTCCGACGAGGCGTTGACAAGTGACATTTGTTATCGGCGCGAGATGCTACATCGATGATTTGAGGATAAATAAAGATTGATAAATTCGGCTCGAATTTTTGATCTCTCAGATGAGCGCGCGATCGGTCGACACATGCAAACGGCTAACCGTGACCTAAAGCGCTGAGAGAGTGATTCGTTGTGGTTGTACGAGCGTAATCGATCTCTGTTTCGACGAGCGATCCGAGAATTTTTAAATGACACCATTAATTGTTCTTAATTATTTTTATATCCGAAATTATCTCGAATCGATCCTGCGATTTTTCGCTGCGTAGATCCTCGGCAAGAATTAAAAGAGAATTACGGAAAAATTATTCGTTGTTTTAAGGAATGTATTTGTTATTTTTTATTTACACTGTCCAATTTTTAGTTATTATTTTTCTAACAGTTAATTGATATTATTTTGAGATATTTTGATTTTAAATATTAAAATTTTAATTCTTTTTTAAACAAGGATTAATTTTGCGCGAAATTATTTTTAATCGCGAAAGAAGATATATAAAATAAGATACTTACAGTTCTCCTTGTTGCCGAAAAGAAGATGATATCTGATAAAGTTTGGTCGGGAATCAAAGTGGTGGCCCTTGGCGATCAAGATTTCCTTGATGTTCTCCAGACCGTTGACGACGACGCAGGGCACGGAGCCCATCTTGAGCTTGATCACCTGACTGTCGTAGACCCTGACGAGATCGGCGAAGGCCTTGTAAGGCACATCGTAGCGTCCCAAGATATGAAGAGAGCCGAGGATCGGCCACGGCTTGGGTCCCGGTGGGTCCAATAGAACGGACGCCTCCTCGCCATCGTACAACTTCTTTGGCGTCTTTCTCGATCTGATGTGATCCACCAGGATCAAGATCAAAGCCACAAGAGTGACGGCAAGCAAAAAGTACGTCGTTGCGCTGATATAAATCATTTTCCGACACAATCACAAGATTCTTCACTAAAAAATACTCGTTTTCGTTTCCTTTTCCGCCACTTTCTTTCCTTTCCTATGACGACCCGGAAGAGAGTGTTTTGTAGCGCTTCTTAATGACGAGTTATCTGATCGTCCGGATTTAAAACCTCCTTGGAGATAAAATCTTTTTTTGAGACACACACGTGGATCTTGATGGTTCGACTGCTCTTGAATATCCTCGACAAGACGATTTTTTTTTTGTTCTAATCCCGGGCGGTCTACTTCCCTAGAGAGATATCAACTCTGTCGTACGTGTCGACCGATCAGGACTCAAGCTCCTTGTGGGCCCGTCTGTGAACGGTCCGCCGATCTGGCTCGGTCTGTGGGGATAGGATGGTTGCCCGGCTATCTTATATAGCCGGGCGTAATGTAGTCAGCACATTTGCGTCGAGCACTGTGCGCCTCAACCCCATACATATGGATTCGTGTTGAGACGAGGTGGGCAGCGAGAAGAAGGAAGAGAAGGAGGAGGTGACACTGGAGGTGGAGGAAGAGGAAAAAGAGGAGGAGGAGGAGGAGGAGGAGATGGACACTCTTGTACGGATCGCAAGAGCTGTACCCTTCTGCCTATATCTCAACGGAAACGAATTTCAAGAAAACCTGAAAAGAGACATACTCACTCACGCGGGTTGTCGGTAGGGCCCGCAGCAGGACCCGCAGGGCGGAGGGAGAAGGGAGCCGGAGGGAAGCAGCGCTCGCCGCGGCGGAGGGATGATCGCGAGATTGCCGGAGGAGAGAGAGGAGGAAAAGGGCCCCGGATGACGCGCGGTGGAGCAGGGAGGTAGCTCGTAGTAAGTAGTAGGGGCGGGTGGAAGGGAAGAGGAATGGGGAGGGGAATCGCATCTCTCGGTAGGGCCTCTTGGGCAAAGCAAGGGACGCTTCTTGCCCTCGACTTCTCTCCTTAAGGTGCCATCGAGTTTTCTGGCAGCCAAGATGGTGGTGGTGATGGTGGTGTGCGTACTCGCATGCACTTCCAGCCGCGCCGGAATTATTTCGGTGTACTTGAACGTACGTCACGGGCCGGATCGGAATCGGCGATCGACGGTAATTCGCTTTTGGTACACCGTACGGGACGTGGACGGAGAATAAAGTTTCGTTTTTCGCGAGGCGGTTGACTGATACGACCGGTATGATGCCAGTTGAACGCTTTGACAAGTATGCGGGAACCGAGTCGCACTGTGCAAGAAGGTGGATTATGGACGTGCATCGAAGATGCATCGAGAGAGGAATGAGAGGAACCAGGTATGCGACCGCCTGTGTTTCACCGCGGAAACAAGCAGAGAGGAGCCAAAGAGCCGCGTTTCTCGATATCATCAAAGCTCAGTCGTATAAATTAAACATTTATTATTAGAATCATACATTATTCTATCATTGTGTCGTTGAAGGTTAAATGAAATTTTTCGCATTTAAAGAGAATTATATTTAATTGTATTCCATTTTTTTTTAAATATTACAAAGAAGGAAATATTATTGCATGTGTAGTGATTATCATATTTGTTATCTGAAACTCTCCTGTATTATCACGCTTGTTTGGGGCGGCAGACTTTGTTTACGTCTGGAACGATTTTTCTCATCGGGAAAAATCAATCGATCGATCGATCTTGAATCCTAAATCTGTCTCAGCAGGATGTTGAATAGCGTTATGTAACTGTGAGACAACTATGCGAATGCATTTCGTTCGACGAGAAGGAAGTGAAATATACAATTCCAATGATGTCTTCTTTTCCTTTCATCCATATTAATTTAATTTATCAGCATAAACATTATTTATGTGAAAGACAAACACATCTAATAATTCTTCAAAATTTCTCTCATATAATTAATGAGTAACACACTTGCGATATGTATTCGCGTAACTATGTCAATAAAAAAAAAAAATTAAAAATTATGATTTTTGTTTTCAAAATTTAATTTCAAATTAATATCAATTATACTGTAGGCGTAAACGAAAAATACGAAATTGCCATAAAAAAAAAAAAAATATTCTACGAGTTCTCGTAAAACGTTGTTTGCTACCCAATATTGAATTCTCAAATATTATATTTGGTTTCCGTCGTGATTCACGATCGAAAATCGGAGTAGATCCAACACAACAAAAGTCGAAAACAATCGCGAGGAAACACAATAGTAACGGAATACTAGATGCGAGAATTCAGCATCGCAATACAGTCAAAGAGATTCGTTATTTTGGATGAGGAAGCATAAGGAGTACGCTTCTCGAATTTGTTTGAATTAATGAATAAAGCATAAGTATACAGAGCGATAAATGCGTATGCGTCCCTCTCTCCCCTCGCCGAGAGGGAGGGAGGGAGAAAGGGGGGCGGGGTTGGGGTTCTTCCGTGAACCGCGTGGCTCAGACACACGCAACCCCTCTTTCCCCGCCGGTCAGCGCCGCGATTTTTTTCCCTCTCACTCGCCGCGACAGTAGAGAGATTACTTCATCCGTATCAAGTGGTATTATCGAGAGTTGATTTCTGGGAAGCTAGCGGTACCGGTCTCTCTCTCTCTCTCTCTTTCTCTCTCTCTTTCTCTCTCTCTCTCTCTGCCCGCCGCTTGCTGCCGTCCCAGCTCGCCAAATCAACTCTAGAGACGAGGCGCGTAACGGGAAAGTCATCTCTTCTTCGCTTTTGCCAGCGACAGCCGGAAGCTGCACGTTCCCGTCGTCGCTGTTATCGACGTCGTCGTCTTCGTCGTCGTCGTCTTCGTCTTCGTCTTCGTCGTCGGGGCGATTTTTCATTTCGCTTTCGTACGCGATCTCTCTTCGCGGTCCCTGTCGCTTGATTAGCGCAGAAACCTGTTCGAAGGAAACGTCACTTGTCGCGTTTCTCTCCCGGCGTACACCTTGGGATTCAGGAGAGAACAATTTATCTCGCGAGTCTCAAATTTTGATCTTCCTCCTAAGATTTTGCATTCACGTTAGTCAGTTAATTTTAATTATTCAACCCGAGTATTTTTTTTTATCTCATGAATTATATTCTTATAATTATCACGCGTCGTGTCTCGAGATCTTCGGCAGAAATTTTAATGGCGGATTGAATAAAAAAATTGCCATCGTCGCGATCGATTATTTTTAGTCCCTTGGCCGCCAGTCTGACTAGCACAGAATCAACCGTTAAATTCGTAGAATCCCCTCCCCTACCCCTCTTTCCCCGCCGGTCAGCGCCGCGATTTTTTTCCCTCTCACTCGCCGCGACAGTAGAGAGATTACTTCATCCGTATCAAGTGGTATTATCGAGAGTTGATTTCTGGGAAGCTAGCGGTACCGGTCTCTCTCTCTCTCTCTCTTTCTCTCTCTCTTTCTCTCTCTCTCTCTCTGCCCGCCGCTTGCTGCCGTCCCAGCTCGCCAAATCAACTCTAGAGACGAGGCGCGTAACGGGAAAGTCATCTCTTCTTCGCTTTTGCCAGCGACAGCCGGAAGCTGCACGTTCCCGTCGTCGCTGTTATCGACGTCGTCGTCTTCGTCGTCGTCGTCTTCGTCTTCGTCTTCGTCGTCGGATCCTCCCGATGATCGGTGTTTTTGCGCGTCGCATAACGCAGATGAAATTCCTCCTTGTTTTCCAACGCACGTGAACACAATGTCGACTTCTGATTACGACACGTCTCCGATTTATCTGTGAATTCTATTTTGAGAGAGGATCTTTTATCGCTACGAGATAAACATGGTCCAAAGAAATTTTCGCATTATTCGTTACTCTGCCACGTGCTACTCGGGCAAGGTCTCTTCAAATTCGTGCTATATATATACATTCTCTATATAATAAAAAAAAAAAATAATCAACTTTGATAAACTAAAAAGAAATTTTAATTTCGCGAGGTGGCCAAATACACGAAGGCGAAACACAGCACCGAAAAATCAAGGCTGCCCGGATTAGCAATGAATAAGATTGATAGCGGAACGTTACCGACGATGGTCGCCCGTCTTGCAACCCGGCCCTCGTCCTTTTACCTAAGATTTGTAGGACGGCGAGGAAGCGGGATTCTCCGGTTAGCGTCACCGCCCAGCGTGAAAACTGGGTTGGGGACGCTTAAAAATCCGTTCCCAAGGATCACCCCCATCCTCCCGATGATCGGTGTTTTTGCGCGTCGCATAACGCAGATGAAATTCCTCCTTGTTTTCCAACGCACGTGAACACAATGTCGACTTCTGATTACGACACGTCTCCGATTTATCTGTGAATTCTATTTTGAGAGAGGATCTTTTATCGCTACGAGATAAACATGGTCCAAAGAAATTTTCGCATTATTCGTTACTCTGCCACGTGCTATTCGGGCAAGGTCTCTTCAAATTCGAGCTATATATATACATTCTCTATATAATAAAAAAAAAAATAATCAACTTTGATAAACTAAAAAGAAATTTTAATTTCGCCATCTAGGAGATCCGTATTATTTAATCGTTGATTTGTAAGACGACAGATAAGATCGTACTCTGTCGTTGTCGACCAGAAAGCAATTCATCGTGTTATCACGTCGGGGGCACGCGATAAATTAGCCAGGGGGAGAAAAGGGCATGTCTGATGTATGCAAATATATAATAGACAATCGAGAGAGAGAGAGAGAGAGAGAGAGACGAATTGCCGGAAGATAAACGCATGCGGATTAGCAGGCGCCGAATCGCATTTAGAAGAGAGTCTCGCCGGCGAATGTTGCGCAAGAAATTATTGAAAATGTAACGGGCCTCCCTCATCCCCCTATCCTAGGCGAAATCGGGCCACACGTACACGCACGAGAGATATCGTCTCTGTCCCGAGACGCGTCTCTCCCGCTGACGTTGATCTGCATGTAGCGGTCGTCCCGTACGTGCGTTGCGCTCTAACGGTCAAGAGAGACGGCTTTTACATAAGCGCGGATAAACGCGCGAAACGAGGCGAACGGGAACAGATATCCCGGTCGCGATGGATATTGGCAATTGCAAAATTCGCGACGGATACATTTATGGAGAGGCGGCGGGTCTCCCCATGTTTCTCGTCTCGTCTCGTGTGCGTTAACCGTTCCCGAGAATCACGCGAATCGTTAACCACGACGTAAGTTAGACATGCTGATGCCGATCGAAGGTAAAAGTTTTTTTACGTCTAGATCGCGCGTTGCGCCGAGAGATAGACACGGGGAGATTCGAGTTCCTCTTTACGTCAGCGCGTTTTTCGCGCCGAAATTCGTCTCCCTAATTTTCACGCCGCTTCGTTCAAGGCATTTTCGAACGCGAGAGGAATTTCGACGATTTCGCGTAATCGGATCGGTGCGTTTCAGTGTCCGATTTCGATCCGGAAAAAAAAATTGACACTTCGATT